TTCATAACATATGGGTTTGCAACCCAAATATACAAGTATAAGTGAGTGACTAGAAATATTAAGTTAATAATCACATGTATTATTATGTCAAAAATATTAACTCGTGTTATTAAATTATAATCACATATATTGAGATTTTGTTTTAAATTAGAAAAGAAAAATATACCTGTAAAGTAGATGTAGAATATTAACAGTACTTGAAGACAAAATGTAGATAAAACATAATAAAATTATGCCAACAATAATTCATGCGTTATTAAATTATAATGTTACTTTCTTGTGTATTGAGATTTTGTTTTAAATTACAAAGAAAATTGTAACAGTAAAGCTGAAATTTAATATTAGAATTGGAAGAGGTTGCGTGGAGGCAGTAGCAGAGTACAAAATTAAAGTTTGATTTACAGCGCCAGAGATCACGTGTTTCCTTAGTGTTCATTATTTAAGATACGTGGCAGAAGTTTATATGTTGGGATTAGTGTACACAAAGTGGTAGGTGGTACCTCCGTACATGAAGAAGATGTAGCAGGGAAATCATCACTTGATTAAAGAAATCTCCCGTCTCCCCTCTTCCTTGAATCCTCTCCCTTTCTTTAGAGTTAGTTTTCTGAAATGTTAGTGGCAGTTGGGTGACTTTCAAGTGTACGTGGACAAGAGCCTGGTTGGAAAATCTAAGCATAAAATAAATTATGTAAAAAATATTAATTCATATGTCATTAATTAAATTATAATGTACTTTCACATGTATTAAGATCTTGTTTTAAATTAGAAAAGAAAAATATACCTGTAAAGTTGATATAATTAAAATATTAGAATTAGAGTAATGAACTAAAAAAAAATAGGGTGGAGAATAAATTAACATTACTTGAAGACAAAATGTAGAGTACAAAACTATAGTTTGATTTATAATTAATGTGATGTCACAACACAAATTGGTGGTCGGGATATGATCGAAGATGGTGTAGCTAGGCAAAACACCACTTAATTATGAAAGAAGACTTCCATTTCCACTTTCCTTAAATAACTGACATTCGATTCTATTTAAAAAAATTAATTATTCGTGCATTGAGGGAGAGTATTAGATTATTAAATGACTGAGATTCGATTCTATTTAAAAATAAATAAATCTTGTGACGGATGATTTTTTTTTTTTATATTGTTTATTTATTCGATGTAGGATTTTTTTTTTTAATACTCCTCTCATTCGTGGTTTGTCAAATGATATATGGGCTTTAGTGTCTGTGAAAACTCTAACTATATTTGTTCATAATTTCTTAAACGTCCCATATGACACAAAAATAACCTATATTAAGGTTAAAAAAAAAACAATATTTCTTCACAATAAAATCTAAGAGATAGAAGACAATTGATGAATAGTAGAGAAAATATGGCAAAGAAATTATAGATTCTTCATGTTTAGTAAGTACTGTACTAACTAAACAGTGTAAAAGTAATTCTAAGCTTTTCTGTTCATGTTTCTTTTTGGGTTGATGAGGCACTTTGGCCTTAACTTTGCTTGACTCTGTACCGGCTCTGTGCACCTTTGTCAAATCGAAAAGTCCATGTGCAGGAATGTTCGTCTTCATTAGAAGATGTGAGAAAGAGACGAAGGACAATACAAGGAAAAGGAGGCAAGGTCAATTGAAGGGGCTGGCTGGCTAGCTGTACCTTATCTAATCAATGGAGAGATCTCACACCCCTTATCTTTTGTCGAAGTAACATGCAAATTAATGCTTGTGCGCATGGTTCATGCGAATGCTTTGAATATATGCCATGCCTTGAACTAAGATGTTTAAAATGCTCGAGAGTAAATTCTAATTTAATTCCTATGTTTTTTTTTAATAATTTTGTAAGTTAGTTCCTGCTGTTTTGAAAATCATAAGTTGGTTTCTTGACCGCAACTAGCTGTTATTTATTCTTTATAATTTCTAAATTTTCCTTTAAGAATGCAATTTTAATTTTTCAAATTTGAATACCAAGGAAAGATATTTTAGAGAAAACAAAGTTAATTTTTCAAGAAAAACCACTAGTTGAAAGAACCAAGTTAGTAATAAATATAAAAAAAAATATAGGATTCAACATTGGATTTTTTTTCAACCAAAGGGATCAGCTAATCATTTCACTAAAAATACAGAGAGATCAAATTAATAAAGATTTATTCAATATTTGAAGAATGATTTATCCCATTGGCAGTTCATCATGCATCTCCCTCAAGAGGTGGACGTATCAAGGAGGGTCAGATCCAGCATTAAATTAATGGTGGCCTTTTGTTGGGGTGGTGGGAAGCAGATGCAGCTGAGATAGGGACAAGTTACTCATTCGAGTCCACATCTAAGAAACTACATAGCAAACACCCCATTGTTTTGTTCTGAGTTTCAAATTGCAGGAAGTAAAACATTTGTGGTATAAGATAAATACAGCAACGCAACGTTAATAACTTTAAAATAAAGAAATATTTTTATTAAGTGTTTTCTCTATATTTTTACATGGTTTTGTTTTTGTATCACTTTTAGTAATATTAAATTACAAGTTTTTTTATAAACATAAAATTTTAAATAATTAAAGAATTAAATTAATACAAAAAAAATCTAATCTGAACAGAAATTGTATTCTGTCAACTGATGCCGTCAACCGTCTTTAAATTGATTAACCAATTCATTTAATCTAACCGGTGAACCAATTCCTCTATTCTTTGGAAAAACTTCATGAATCCAGCCTCATCCTGCCATGGGGAAGAATAGTGTTTGGGAGAAACAGATAACGTTCTTTTCCAAGGAAGTCTGCCAAATTTAACACAGTCCATTACCGCGGGGACGAGAGAGTGAAAGTCGCTTAGAACTTGCTATGCTAAATGATTTCTGGGGTAATTATCCTTCTTCTACCCAAAAAAGAAGGCAACTAGTCAATCCTTTCTGCTACATGGAATAAAGGAAGGGATTTCAATGTACTCCCCACATGCTTGAACATTGTTGCAGACACCATGTATTTCTCCGAAAAGTGGAGGAAAAGAATACTTTTTTTTTTATTAAATTAACGTTGTTATTCAGGTTAGTTTACATATAGCATAACTAATCTCATAAAACTTGTAATTAACGATTATATAAGTCTTTAATAATTATATAAATTTTTAATAATCATCGTATAAATATAAAATTATATAAAAAAAACTTTTTAATTTTAAATTTGTATAACTTCACCAACATCTAAAATCTAAATGATTTTTTTTATTAAATTAACGTTGTTATTCATTTTAGTTTACATACAGCATAACTAGCTCATAAACCTATAATTAACGATTATATAAGTCTTTAATAATTATATAAATTTTTAATAATCATCATATAAATATAAAATTATAAAAAAAAAACTTTTTAATTTTAAATTTATATAACTTCACCCACATCTAAAATCTAAATGGTTGAAGAAAGAGAATACTTGATACGCCAAGCAAGCACCCGAAGCAACAGGGACATTTAAGATTTCTTTTTCTGCCTCATGCTTGAAAAATAACTGTACCTTTTGTCCCTGTACATAATAATCTTTAGCCATATCTTTAAGCTAGCCTAATATATATCATTAGGCTACCCTAAATGTTAATGAGTAAACTCTCTGTCTCCTCTAGAACACTTTTCTTTTGTATTTGTCTAAGATTTGTTGTACTATAGGTCTGAATTTCTATGCTCGTGTCTCTTTTCGGTGAACTAAAATATGTCTCGAGGTTGAGGTTGAAAATGAGCGTTTATGGGTTGTTGGTAACTGTGGCTTTAATTATTTTTAAAATTTTTGTTTTCAGAAAAGTTTAAAAATAATATATTTTTTTTATTTTTTAAAATCCGCATATAAAAACAATTCAAAAATATTAATTTAAAATAAAAAAATTAAATTTTAATAAAAAAAATATATTAAAACTCACTGTCAAACACATGTTACATGTGTTTGGAAGCCAAATCAAGGGCCCTCCATTTTTTCGATACTTTGCAGGGACAACGGGTCAATGACTTTGTTCCGGCTAGGTTTGGCAAGCCCAAGCATGCTAGGCCTGCCTTGCCTGATCAATTTTTTCTTTTCTTTTCTTATTTGTTTAGTTATGTTGGGTAAAATTATTTCAGAGTCTTTGAAAAATGAAATTTCAAAAAAATTATTACTTTATTCTTTAAATATTCTTAATAAATTTACAGTTAATTATTATTTATTTTACTCATATGATTTTATAAAAAAAACTTAATTAAGGAATTCTTTTTGTGTGGAATATGTTATTACAATAAATTATACTTTTTTATTTGATAATAAAAGAATAAAGAGAAATAAATAGTTTTTTTAACAAATTAAATCCGTGAGATAGGTAAGGAAAAATTAATAAAAACTAAATTTGGATTAAGTATATGAAATTAATTGAAAAAATATTTTTTTTCCTATAATGGAATGTATTTTTTGGGGTGTAAAGAAGAAGAAACTTTCATTATTATGCCTTTTTCTTTGTACTACTTTTATTAACAAGAACGAAATAGTAATACTACTACTGAAACCTTCACTTCTATGTTAAGTTTTGTATGAACCCAAGATTCCACGCCAAGACCCTAACACCAGACGTTAGTTATTTAGCAAAAGAAAAATCAAGTCGATCTGTGATCTTTGACAATTCATATTTGACAATTCAAATTAAAATAAAAATAAATGGGTCAAAATTAAATTATAACAAAAATATTTGACAATTCATATTTTTTTAAAAAAATGAGTGAATAAAATAAGTTTATGAGATTGTACTAAGAGTTACAAAAGGAACTTAATTAATTTGAATTTATTTAAATTTTAAATGGATTTAATTAAGAAAATAAATATAAAATTTTGTAAACAGACCCATGGCAACCCATGATTCACTTGCTAGTGTGCTCTTATTCAATTTCTAGTCGTTAACCTGTTTGGTAATTGCAAAGCCATAGAAATATTATTTGCTGTGCTGTGACTAACATCAAAGTTTCAAATAACACATAAATTGGGATTTTAATTGAATTTAATCAGCCATATAAATGGAAAAATATTAAGTCTGATCAGCAACACGACTTATAAAGGGCTTGATCTCCGAGAGAAAATGGAGAGCATGGTAATCATCATCTAGGGGTCATATCAAAACATTGCACTAACAGACATGTCAAATTTAGAAAAAAAACCCACACATGTTCAGATCCTAGCACTTTCATGTATATTGTCTACGATACTGGAAATAAACTATACAGGGAAGGTTTCTTCGTAATGAATTTCATCCATTGCAGAGTGTATCAGAACTCGAAGTACTAATGTAATTGGTTCCTGTAGTGGGGGGTGGAGGAGGGCGAGACAGTACTTAATCAGTTGATCTTCCCCATGGGAAGTTTCTGCTGCTTGCAAAGTTCATCCATGTCCTTGTCTTGTCCACTGCAATCAAGAAAGGATTCTCGAAGTTCCATAAAGATAGCGTTGGCAGAAGGACCTAGGAGAAGTGGTGTAGATAAACATAGTCAACAGATTCAACCCAAATACTTAAACTATTAGATAATATTTTAAAATGATTTTATATATACTACTCTCAAATAAAAGTCCTTGTCTAATTGTTTGGTCATTAAGTTTTTTATAATTAACATGCCAAATAGTTTATTTAATTCAAAAATTTAAACCAATTCAATAAAAAAGTTAAAAAAATTATTAGATGAGGTTTAAGAATTCTTTATGTTAGTTACTAGACTGTAACCAAAACTAAGTTAAAAAAAGAAGTAGATTAGAGCAGAAAAAGAAAGCATTATGAATGCAGTCTCATCCAGTCGGAATAGTAGGAAAACTTTCAAATTTAACAGAATCAATAGCCGCCGGGAAGAAGATTGAAAGGGAAAGAAGCTACCTGGATAAAATCTAAGAATTTGATGGTACTACTCACATGCTTGAAGATTGTTGCAGACAGCCAATCCTTTAGTCCATTGACACTTCACTGCTTGGATAACTGGGGAAAGAAAAGTAGCATGTTAGGCCAAACACATAACTGGGGAAAGAAAAAACCCCAAATTTGATATAGCTTATCAACAAGTTTTAAGTTCATGATTTGATTTCTGGAGCACATAACTTTCTCTGACTTAAACTCCATGAAGCAAAAGGAGAAGGTGAGGAGCTATTAAAACTGAAGATCAAAATTAAAAGACTTACACTGAATTTTTCTGTCAATACACAGAACCATTTGCTGCAACTGATCCAGCCTGTTCCATCGTCTACAGTGAGAGCAACATCAACAACCTTTTCAGCTTTAACAAACACCATGTTCATGACCATAACCTACATCAACAAGATGTCAAAACTTCTTAGAAAAATAAGCTAAACAATTACAATCTTTATTTCAACAGAAACCGACAAGATCAATAAAACTACAACAAACGATCTAAAAGAAGTAATAATGATTAACAGAAAAGGAGGCGATTTGAGATGGAGACATGAGAGGCCTTACTTTTAGAAGAGGAGTGGTATTTTGCGGTAAGCTAAGTTGATTGAGAGGTATGAATCCATCACCACAGGCAGCGGAGGAGATTCCGAACTGGATGCTGGAGGAGTTAGAGACAGAATTGTTTGAAAAAATATATGAGAGACGTGTGGAGAGAGAGATAGAGGGCATTTTACATGTTAATAGAGTGTTCACAACTAAACAAGAGATTTTCCACTGAAATTAAATAGCCACCTTGCAAGAAAGCAGCTCCTAGAATCTAAAGGACAAACTGTAGCTCCAAAAATAGTCGAAACAAAGATGCTAAGCAATATCAAACTCCTAATGGAACACAAACTGGATATTATCAAACTTTTAAAATTTTGAATGCCACATATATTTAAAACTTATAAATTGAATATGATCAAACTTTAACATCGAGGCACTGATATTAGCTTTGAAGGCAAATTTTTTACTAAAAGACACGCACCATCATAAATAATCAAATTTCCTATCTTAACTATATCATAATGCTCGTTCACCCTCTTAAAACTACTGCACCATTTCTTCACTACGTACCAATATAAGAAATAAAATAACAAAAATGTCATGTTTTACATTTCTCACTTGATTTGTTTGATTTTCCCACACTTTCTGGGCGACCAATCACGTAGCTAGAGGATAAATTATTTAAAAAAGAGAAGCCTTTGCTTGTTTAGTTAGCGGAATATTAAATTAATTCACGTGACGTTATTGAATTAAGATAAATTCATTTACTGATAGTATATATTTTAAAAAGAGGAGCTTTTACTTGTTCAGAAAATTAAAGATATGAAGTAACTTAAGTTGAATTAGTCTAATACCTCGTTTGATGTGGGTGTCTGATGTTTGCTTGATCCATAACACACAGGAGTGCACTGATGACATTGTTGGGAATTTCGACCGGTGATGTTCTGATACTTGCTCATAGGAGGGCCAAACACGCTGATACAATATTTAACGTGGTTCGGCAAAATCGCCTACATCCACGGGAGAAGTCAATATATCTAGAGATAGAGAAAGAATACAAAACAAATACATGGAGGAAGAGGATTACACCCTCTCATACTCAACTCTCAACTCTCTTTGCTGCCATTGCAGCTCTCTCTTCCTCTCTACTCTCTTCACATTTTCATGATTCTCTTCACTCATTTTGCTCTCTTGCATATGCCTCTATTTATAGGCATTCATGGAGGCTTTTCTTCAACAAAGGTGGCTGCCAACCCCAACTCTTCTTCAACAATGGTGGCTGCCAACCTTTGACATCTTGGATGAGTGCACATGGTTGGTGCAATAGCAAATGGTTGTTGCACATTAATGGCAACCAACCTAACAGACATCTGAGTCTGAATCAAAGTATTACTATGCAGGTTCAACCAGAGAAAATACTCATGATCCACCAACAGGCAAATGCAACATGTGCACATAATGCTTATCGGTCATCAACTCCAGACATCTTATTAATATTTCAAGATTTATCAGCAGTCAGATCAATACCTGCAATTTGTTTATGTAAATGGGATGTATACGTAAGGCATGAAGTGTGAACAAGTTTCCGCAAAGTTTGTCACAGGCCTGCAAACTCCCGTAAATAAAAGTATCGTAAGAATAAATGGTAGAGTGACAACGATAACTAGCCAATTAAATAAGAAATCTCTTCAGAAGATTTACTTTCTGTACACATACTTTCATTGACTAAACTCCATAAAGCAAGAACATAAAGAAGTTAAGAGATAACTCCAGGACTACACCTGAAACAGCCTGTTCCATCCTCTAGAAGGAAACCATCAATGATTACCTTTTCAGATTTATCAAGCCCCAGTCCAGCCCCAGTACCCAAAAAGGATGTCGGGGGGGGTGGTGGGGGGGGGAGGAAGAAAACACCATGAATGAAAAGTATCGATCAGAACATGGTATTACATGAAAACAATGTTAGTCTCTAGGTAGCTCCAATACCATCATTAGTGCCTTCTATTAGTTTTTGTTTTTCAGTTCTTTTTTAAAAAGAAAAAAGAAAGAAAGAAAGATTTTAGTATGGAAGCAAAATGGATTTTTCCTCGAACAAAATAATCATAAAAGAAGAAATAAAAAATTTGAGGATAGATTAGGAGATTAGGGTTTGTCATTTTGGTGGGGGGCTGAACCCCTCTCCCTATTAATTGAAAAGAAGTTGCGAATATTCAAAGAAAAACAATAATAATTTGATCAGATGAGGGTTGTGGATGATAGAACAAATAGATAGATAGAATATTTATGGAGTACGTAGTACTAACAGAAATAAATTCAGGAAGAAAGGAAGAGGTTAAAAACCTTTGTATTTAAGAATAATATCCTTACGGTGAAAATGCTCTAACCGTCAAATATAAAAAGATAGATTTATGGATAATAAAATAAATAAATACAGAAAGAGAAAGAGTATGGAGTAGTAGTAATAATAAAGAAAGGAAGGAAGGAAAAGGTTAAATACCTTCCATAATTGTAAGGATGTATGCTCCATGAAAATGCTCTCTAATACTCGTTAGCATATCAATCCTTCACCATTTAAATAGCGACCCTCCTTTTGAATTTAGTCGCCATATATGGAGTGTGTTCAATGTTAGGAAGCCACTCCTCCACGCTCTCCTTTCCCCATCCTCTAGTTCTTTCACTCAACTCTTCACTGCAGTAATTGATTATTAACAGTTGCAAAGAGGGAAAGTAGGGTATCCTCCCTTGAGATTGAGATTGAGATAACGACTTTAATTCTCTGCAACCGCTGATATATAATTTCTGAAGAGAAGGCATCCCCTGATCAGGCAGTGGCAGAGACTTCAATCTTGGACATTCAGAGATCGATAGCTGTTGAAGAGAAGAGAGATTTTGCAGCCCTACTTCCGGAAGAGATTCCATGTCATCAATTGAACCAATATCGAGTTCCTTCAATTTGGAGAGTGGACGGATAAATGAAGAAGAAGAAGAAGAAGAAGAAGAAGAGACCGCTGATTTCATCTTCATTGTCTGCTGTAATGGCATTGAACTGGTTTTGGTCAAAGAAAGACCTTCATCGAGAGTTGGAAACAACGGCATTGAAGTCAGATTTGGACACCATCTTATTTTTAAGGAAGAAAGACGTGGAAAAAAGATACGATCATCATTCATCTTATCTCTACTCCATCTCTTCCACCATCCCTTCAGTCTAAACCAACCATAGATAACAAGTGTCTTTAAGGAGGGGAAAAGCGTCGCCACTCCTTTTCCTCCAACCCCCTCACTATCTATGTACTCCAAATCATTCATACTCCCAAAATACAAATCTGCAAGAGAAGGGATTCCATCTAAGGGTGGGATATGCTCAAGTCTTCTACCATTTTCTAGATGAATCCTTACCAGATTTGAGAGATGTGAAAGCCAACTTGGAAACCTCATACCTCCATATTCTATCACTCTCAACTCTCCACTGCAGTAAGATATTCCTAATTCTTGCGAAGAGGTAAGGTCGGGTTTCCCTTGAGATTCAGATTGAGATGGACACTCAAATTCTCTGCAATCGCTGATATTTAATTTCTGAAGAGAATGCATCCCCTGATCAGGCAGTGGCAGAGACTTCAATTTTGAGCATCCCCTAATTGATAGCTGTTGAAGAGAACAGAGATTTTGCAGCCCTGCTTCCGGAAGAGATTCCATGTTATCAATGAAATAAATATATAGATTCTTCAATTTGGAGAGAGGACGGGTAAATGAAGAAGAAGAAGAGACTGCTGATGTCATCTCCATTGTCTGCTGTAATGGCATTGAACTAGCTCTCAACAAAATGAGAATTGATAGAGTTGGAAACAACGGCATTGAAGTCAAGTTTGGACAATCAACAATGCTCAAGGAACAAAGACATGGAAAACGGAGCATTATCAACTTATCTCTACTCTTCTTCCACCATCCCTTTAGATTAGGACAATTAGAGATGCTAAGTTTCTTCAAAGATGGGAAAATTTTCGAAACTCCTCTTCCTCCATTCCCCTCGCTATCCATGTACTCCAAATTAGTCAAATACATAATCAACAATTCTCTAAGAGAAGGGATTTTATCTAAGGGAGGGATATGCTTAAGTCTTGGACAACATATTATATGAATCCTTACAAGATTTGATTGAAGTGAAAGCCAATGTGGAAACCTGATGGCTGTATAGCCTCTCACTTTCAACTCTTGAAGACTCGAGTTTGGCTGGAGGCTTCGCAACATTTTATCATACAAATCAATATCTGAAATATTATCCGCCCCTAAATCCCACTTTAAAGTCAACGAATGAAGATATTTTTTCTTTATCAATTTAGCTCCTTTAAATTCTGATATACAAGAACTACCTTCATATCCCTTGACTATTATTTCTAGCCTCCCTCTCAATTTATTTAACCTCCTCAACTCATCCAATCCACCTATCATCACAGATTTAGAACTCCTATTTTTAGCAGCCACAAAACATGACAATGTTTGTAGACTAGTTAATTTCCCAATCCCACGAGGCATATACTCTAAATTTTCACATAAATCATCATCAAGATAGCAACCAACATCAAGATGCCTCATATTAATTAGCTTACCAATATCCCTAGGTAGTTCCTTAAGTTTCCTACAACCATTAAGCTTGAGCACTTGCAAATTTACCAGATTGGTGATAGAATTAGAAAGCACCTCCATCTCATTATTCGAAAGATCAAGATATTTCAGATGCTTGAGCTTTTGAATGAGAGGTGGCACTTCCTTCATTCCCAAATGACTCAAAACAAGCACACGTAAATGCCTAAAGTCTCGACAAATAGACTTCCATGACCCCTCATCCCATTTGCCACCTTGCAATAATACAAGTGTTCTTAGACGATTTGCAAAAGGCAAAGACAAATCCAATTCCGTGTCAAATGACACGTGCCGAGTCAATCCACTAATACTATTTCCTCCACGCTCCACTTTGATGCTCTGAAAACCAGCGACATGGATTGCAAGATCATGCATAAAATCATGCATTTTGCAACTTTCTATGTTACCTAAACCATCCTTTTTAACTTCGTGAAAGAAGGACCTCCACAGTAAACTCTTAAAGCACTTGAGACCAACAATCTCAATACCCCTACGACCTGAATTTGAAGAGCTAATAACAAACCCTTGTGCAATCCAAAGTCGAATCAATGATTTGACATCTATCTCATGACCTTTCGGGAATAAGCTACAGTATGCAAAGCAATGCTTCAAATATGATGGAAGAGGATCGTAGCTTAACTTAAGGGTATCTATGATGTTATCATCTTGGACCCTATTTGGAAGTTCTTGTTGGATAAAGGGCAACCACTGGGCTCTATCTTTCAAAGACATTAACCTCGCAATTGCCTTTATTACCAAAGGAACTCCCTGGCTCCTCTCTGCAATCTCTTTTTTTTATTCTTCCGTCTATGTAATTTGACTCTCGACCTGGACCAAAAGCCTTTCTTCTAAACAGATCCCATGACTCATCTACAGACAGACCTTCTAAAACATGTGGTTCTATTGTGCTTGTTAATTTGGCAATTACATGAGAACGTGTAGTTACCACAATCTTACTTCCTACTGCATCACATGGTAATAACTCCTCTAAAAACTTCCATTTTTCACGATCATCCTTACCATCCCACACATCATCTAA